TAGTCACCCTGGTCTCCTTGATGGCTCTCAGTCTATTGGGCACCGTCTTACCACAGGACCCTTGCACTTACTGTGTTCCCTCATGCCTGGCATCCTCATGGACTTCAGGTCGATCCTTAGTGTCACCTGTTTATTTTTTGAGGACTTCCTGACCATACTGCTTAAAATGCCACCTCTGTTGCTTCCCTGGAATAACTGATCCCTCTTTCCTGCTTTATTTTTCTCCATCTCATCTGAAGACTACATCTTATTTATTTATCACAGATATTGTTTGTCTCCTCCTTCGAGAATGTGAGCTGCAGGAAGGCAGGGATCCTCCTGCTCTGTTCCCTGTGGTCCCCGGTTTGGCACATGGACGGTGCTCTACTGGATGAACTACTGGAAGCTCCTGTTTGTTCGTGGAGACCAGTGAACGGGACATCCTTTGTGAATGTCCTTGCTGTTCTAACCTCTGTCATAGCCTGGATATAACTTCACTCACACTTACTCTCAGGCAGCAGCAGGCAGGGTCCCAGAAGCCCTCCCTTTCCAGTCTAGTCTTATCCGAAAACATGCTCAGCTTTGCCCTTTCCTTCTGGAAACGTGCTCTCAGGAAAGGAGCTGAGGGAAGTTTAGGGTTAGCAAGTATTAAAGGGCGGAACGCTCATGAAACGGAACGTGTTTCGATGTCCAGGGAGATGTGTATCAGTACCAACTGGAGGGAGGCGGCCTACGGTGAGTTCCTACTGAAGACCCAGGAAGTCAAAGGTGCCTTTTCTCTTTCTAATTCTCACTAAGCTGCCAGGTAATATTATCATTTTTATTTTAAACATGAACAAACAAAAAGTTCATGGCCAACTAACGTACCCAGAGGTGGTGAGCCACAGAACCAGGATTCGAACTCAGGTTGTCCCAAAGCCCACACTCTTCACTGTTCCTTTCCCGGAGAAACAGAACAGCGGAGGAGAGCAAGGGCCCTGCCCCGCGGCCGGGGGACCCAGAAGGACGCGTCCATCGCTCTCCTTGTGGAGCCTGTGTATTCGGAGTTTTATCCATTTTGACCAGTCCGCCTTTGCAAGGATTTTCCTCAAGTTGGGAACAGAAAGGGGTTTCTAATAAATCTTTATTAAAATAGACGATTCCTTTCACTTAGCTGTTCCCACACTTTCTGCTCAAGGGTCCTGATTAACCTGCTATCTTCATGTATAAATTAACTATGGGACAGATTATGAAACTATCTTTGAGATGTGTAAACCTTTCTCGCCTCCACCCAGATGTCCATGGAGAGTAAGAGAAAGAGTTCTTTCTTTATCCCTCACCTAGTGATGTGATGAGTGTGTAGGGGCTACTTTGCAAACCTATACAGAGCCCTTGTTTAAAAATAAAGATTTAGTCTTGGCCAGTTTGGCTCAGCGGTTAGAGCGTCGGCCTGCGGTCCAGAGAGACCCGGGTTCGGTTCCCGCTAAGGGCACGTACCTCGGTTGCAATTTGTCCCCGGCCCTGGTGGGGTGGCAACCACTCAATGTTTCCCTTTCACGTTGATGTTTCTCTCTCTCTCTCTCCCTCCCACTCTATCTGAACAAAAAATGGAAAAATGTCTGAGGGTGAGGATAAAAAAAAAATAAATAAAAAAATAAAAAAATAAATAAATAAATAAAAATAAAGATTTAATTACTACAAGGTAACTATGATCATAATCAGGGTTGGAGGTTCATTTCTAAAGCCACATTTAGCAACCAAAATTATTGGCATGTAAGTATCCACACTGATGAGCTGGAAAAACTCCAGTATGGGAATTGCATGTCTAACCAGAGAGTTAATTTTTAACGAATTGGTTCAAATGGGAACGACATAGTTCAAAGAATCTGGCTGAGTGTTCGTAGCCAGAAACATCCCCTCAAATTTAAAAGATGCACCTTTTTTTTTTTTTCATTATAGGGGTAATATGATAAGACTTTGGGCAAATAAATAGAAGTTACACATAATCTTGTCATAACTTATTTTGATGCATTTCATTCTAGTCTTTTGGGGGGGCTCGTCATATTTTTTATTTTCTTATTATTTTTTAAATAAATTTTCAAATTGATTTTAGAGAGAGGAAGTGGGGAGAGAGAGAGATAGAAACATTGATGAGAGAGACCACTGATTGGCCGCCTCCTGCATGTCCCTCACCGGGGATCAGGCCCACAACCTGGGCATGTATCCTGACCGGGAATGGAACTGGCGACCTCTTGGTGCAGGGTCGAAGCTCAGCCATTGAGCCACACCAGCCGGGCAGCACTTATTTTTTAAAACGTGTTTAATTATCACATACCTGTATCCATCATAAGTATCTTCCCAAGGGGTTGTCATTATCACCCTGTGAGAGATAAAATGAATTTTCCATGTTCAAAGTCATAAACATTGTTTTAGAACAGTTGAATCCTGATAAAGATGAAAATAGAAAGAAAGAAGCAAAATCCCCTCTCGGCCGTTTGTCTGGAGACCAGCACTGCTGACATGTCTGGCCCTGAAGCTGTATTTCGTGCAAGGTGCTATTGTTACTTGCTGTTTAATAGTTGTATAATCTCCACCGGGTAGTTATACTACATTCTACCTACCCATTCCCCTATTGTGAAAATGTACTTAGTTTACAAATTTTGCTAAAAAATGTCCCCGTAAGTTAGGTCTCCAGAACAGTGAAAACTGAATTTGGGGGTATAAACTGTTTTATGGCTCTTCCCAGGGGAAGTGCCATTGCCAGGGGCGGGGTGTGGGTGGTGAGTACTCACAGCCTATGGTCAGCCTTCCAGCCCTTCCTCCCCCTTCCCCCCGCCCCTCCCCTTTCCCTGAGTCAGCAGGTAAACTTGCCAGAGATGGGGCCGTCCTGGCTATTGGCATTGCTGTGTCCTCTGCTCCCCACAAGGCAGGGATTGGTTCTTCCTTCTTTTGAAGGCCAGCTTACGTAAGTAGCAGGTGGAACTCACCCCTCTTGCTTTCTGAGCCAAGAAGGATGACAGTATTCTTGTGGTTGTTTAGAACATTACCTCTGTTTGCCTAGAAAGCTTCAAAGCACCTGCTATCTCTGGGGCCGCCCCTCCTCCCCCTTCTCTCTGCTAGTCCGTGTCCTCACGCCAAGTAGCCTGGCTTCACCATCAGGGCTGTGTTCTCTGTTGCTGGTGCCCACAGATAATGACGCCATCACCACGACTCTGAAGTGAGAAAAAATAGGCCCCTGTCTCCTGCCACTGTTGACCAAGCCCCTTCATCTCTGATTTCATTCTTTACATCTTTAACCTTCTCAAAGAAGTGTTGGGAAGATCACAGAAAATAATTCTAACCTGTGAGGTGACATTCAAAGTGAAAATGTATTAATATTGTAAATATTCATGTTCTCCTCACCCACGTGCCATTAACCATCAGGGGAAAAATATGCTTCTTACACAACAAAGTTGATGAATTTTGTTTTTTTTAAAGTTGCTGAGTTGATTCAAGTTAAACATTATTTTTTTTCAGAGTACACTTTGTCTATTTAAATGTTTGGGGTCACCCTAGTTGTTCATTTATTTTAATAAAGGGAAGAGGGTGGCCCTTTGTTCCTTCACAATGAACAGTCCTATCAGTGAAATCAGACTTTCTGAGTAAGTAGCAGATAACTAGCCATGCATTACAATTTGAAGACCAATGTAAGTAAATGACTCTTTTAAAAAAGTTGTTTTACTCTTTTAAAAAATATGTATTTATTGATTTTTTGAGAAAGAGAGAGAGAGAGAAACATTGATGTGAGATAGAAACATTGATTGGCTGCCTCCTGCACACCCCCTGTTGGGGGTCGAGCCCACAACCCCGGGCTTGTATCCTGATGGGAATCGAATGGGGACTTCTCAGTCCATGGGACGGTGCTCAGTCCACTGAGCCACACCGGCCGGGCAAGTAAATGACTCTTTTTTAAATGACAAACCCATAATAGCTAAAATATCACCAGCTAAAAACATTGAATTTGAGTAGACATAGCAAGTAATTACTATTTTTGTGGCATTTAATAAAAGCAGCCTGCACACGTCTCTCCCCTTCTCTACAAGACTGCCCGGGTCCACCCTGCTAAATACTGCGATCCACCCCGCTTCGCCGACGCCGCCGGGCCCCTCACCCAGCTCTGCCCGGTGTCCTTTCCTTCGCCCTTCTCCTTGTGCAACAATATACACATTAGTTCTCTTCTATGTTTGCTGTTTATCTCCTATAACTGGAATGTAAGCTTTTCCAGACAGAAGTGTCTTTGTTTTGTTCACTGATGATCCCCAACCGCCTAGAAGAGTAACTGGCACCTGATAGATGCTACGTACACCTTTATTGCATATTTGAATAAAAGGTAATTACATCAAAATATGAGCAGTAATTGTACTAAATAATTTTTACTGAGCATTTGCCACTCAGCTGGCCTTGCCTAGGTACAGTATCATCCAATGTTCCCGACAAATTTAAGAAGCAAGTGTCACTTAATGCCACCAAATTACAGATGTAATTACAGATGTGGAAACCGAGGGTTCGAAACGGAAAGTAAATTGTTTCAGGTCTCAAAGCCAATGTGACTGAGAACTTGGCTTTAAACCCAATAAGCTTGAGTCTGTGGACCCTGTTCAAGCAGTAACCTGTTGCTTCTGTATTATTTATTGAGTGAGATATAATTATTGAGATTCTGTGCGATTTCATTCGGGAAAGGGGGGTTTTTCCAATGTAAATATTTTTGGCAAACACTGTCCTAGACATGAGAACCAAATCAACATCTTATGGTTGCAATGCTAGGCCTTCAGCAGATTCCAAGTGATTAAATATCTCCACCTCTTGCCATTTGTTATTGGCTTTGCAAAAAAAAGTAAACCATGTGTGCAAATTTCATGAGAATTTCCTACTCTTAATTTCAAAAGCCTTCTCCCCCATCTGTCAGTGTTTGGCTGTGTTGTGTGTTTTGCTCTGGTTTTGTGTGTTTGGTCTGTGTTAATGCCAGTGACTGTCCCCTTCACACACCCAATTCTGTCTTCTAGGAGAATGACATAAACCTAACCCACATCGAATCCAGACCTTCGCGGTTAAAGAAAGATGAGTATGAATTCTTCACCAATCTGGATAAAAGCAACCTGCCTACTCTGGCCAACATCATCAAGATCTTGAAGTACGAGATCGGTGCCACTGTGCACGAGCTTTCCCGCGAGAAGAAGAAAGACACAGGTAAGAAAGAGGGATTTGGGAACCCCAGCAACTCCGCATCTGATGTAAAGTCATGGCGAAAGTAGTGTCTACCCTGGAAGACCATTGGCGGATTAGTGAGGTGATGTGGGTGGGAGACCCAGACGAGGGCCTAGCATATTTTAGACATTTAATAAATGTGAGTTCTTTCCCCCCCTTCCTCAGGATAGCTATTTCTTATGTTGTTTTCTTTCTGTTGCCACAGTTTTCATGTTTTTCATCCTTGGGTTGTCGTGGTCTCGAGCTCCTGTCTCCAGAGGTGGGATGGTTAGGGTGTCTAAGGTGCTTTCTATGTAAGTGCAACTTCCAGGCAAGCTCCACGGTTATGTCCATTCCAGCTGGGGGGTCTTCCATGTGCTCAGAGTAAGTCCATTCTCTAGCTGGGGACTGCCTGCCCCCTTGTCCTGGGCTTTCTTTGTCTCTTTATCTGTTGCTTCCACTAGAGTGTGAGCTTCCTACAGGCAGGGAGAGTCTTTTCTATTTATATCCTATGAGTTTAGTCCAGTGCTTAGCACACAGGTGCTGAGCAAATATTTGGGAGTCAATGATCACATCGATGAGTTGTCAAGACTTGCCCTGCCTCCCTATTGACTTGCTGAAACGCTGCCCACTGATGTCCCCTGAACAACAAGGCAACAAAGTAGGGCAGTAGGGTGTAGGCATTATAAGTATGGGTTGGGATTGGACAAACTTCAGTTCAAATCCTACCTTTCCCACTTAATGACTCCGAGACCCTTGCGAGTCCCTTGAACTCCTCTGACCTCAGTTTCTTACAGGGTTTTCGTGAGAGTCAAATGAGATCATACACATGCAGGGTTCAGAATGCCTGTCTGGATAAATGATAGTATGTGGTGGTTGTTACCATTACAATCATCCTAAAAAGAATATAATGGAACAATGTGAATGCGTTTTAGGATACAGAGCATGTTCAGATAAACTTTTGTTGTTGTTGTTAATCCTCATCTGAGGATATTTTTCCATTGACTTTTAGAGATAGGGGGAGAGAGAGAGAAATATCAATGTGAGAGAGACATATTGATTGGTTGCCACCCCCACAACCCTGACCAGGGCTGGGGATTGAATCTGCAACCCAGGTATGTGCCCTTGATCAGAATTGAACCCATGACCCTTAGGTTCTCAGACTGATGCTATAACAGCTGAGTCAAACCAGCCAGGGCTAAACTATTTTTAATAGACATTTTATTTTTTAAAATAGTTTCAGGCTTACAGAAAATTTGTGCAGAAAGTACAGAGTTCCCACATGCCTTCCATCTCCTCCCCCTCCCCCACCCCAGCTTCTCCTATTATTAACATCTTGCATTAGTGGGCTACATTTTTTATAGTCCATGAGAAACAGTGATATAATATTATTAATTAAAATTCGTAGCTTACATTAGAGAGTCATACTTTGTGCTGTTCAGTTCTTTTGGTTTCGACAAATGCGGATGATGGTATGGTGATCGACAGTGGTGGGTAATGCCCTATATCCATCATTACTGCCTCATGTACATGGGTTGACTGCCCCCAAAATGCCCTGCGCTCCACCGGCACATCTCTCCTTCCTTCCTTGGTCCTCTGGAAACCACTGATCTCTTTACTGTCTCCATGATTTTGACTTTTCCAGAATGCTATATAGTTGGAATCAGAGTGTGTAGCCTTTGCAGATTGATTTCTTTCACTTAGCAACACACATTTAATTTATGCTTTTTTGTGACTTGATGGCTCATTTCCTTGTACTGCTGACTTATGTTCCGTTGTATGGATGTACCACTTCTTGTTTAACCACCCACCTGTCGAAGGGCATGTTGGCTGCTTCCAAATTGTGGTGATTGGGAATAACGCTGCTATAAACAACCCCACGCAGGTGTTCGTGTGCACCTGCGTTTTCAGCTCATTTGCATACATACCTAGGAGCGCAGTTGCTGAAGTATTTTTTTCTAAATAATTAAACATTTTTCTACTGGAAAATCGAGATTTCTGTAAAAAACACGGGAGATGTTAGGTCAAGAGGATTTCAGGCTCTGTAGCTGAAAATAACATTTTACTAGGCAGAGATGCTTTAAAAGGAGACAAGGCCCAGCTCTTAGCATAGGCCATGGACACAGTTTCTGAAAGACACTCCCAAGGTCTTCCTAGGAGATCTCTCTTCGTTCTCTGTGGTCATTCTCCTGTGGCTGTCATACGGACGAGGAGGTCCCTCCAGGGCTCTGCCCTTGCGGAGGGTGGACAGCCAAGCTGGTGGGCGCCGGTCACCGGGAGTGGGCAGTTGGAATTCCTTCTGAGATCAACCCTGTCTGCCTGCCTCCTCCTCCACCTTCCACGCTGCTTCCCTGATGATCATCTCCTTTTGGTTTTCCGGCCACCTGCTCCCAACAGGAGCTGCGGGTTCTTAGGACAAAGGCCCTGCTGGACCCGGGGCCAAGCCCTGACTCTGCTGGGAGCAGGTGGAGGCCCAGCCAGCTGGGGCCCTGGGGTAGGAAATCAAAGCAATTGACAGGCAGGCACACGCCCTGTGGGGAGCCAGGGAAGATGTATGTAGATCAGATGGAGGGCTGGCAGCCTGAGCTGGGGGCTCAGAAAGGAGGGTCTTAATGGGCCGTGGAAGAGTAGTTCGAAGACCAGACTCTGAGACCAGGGCACACCCCGCTTAGCGTAACTTTGGGCAAATTGCTGACCTTTGCAACCTCCCACTGTATCACATGGGAGTAAGGAGAGTCTCTGTCTCGTCGGATTAATGACATAGCACCGTGGAGAGCAGGGCAGTGCGTATTCAAGGGTTCAATAAATGTTCTCTCTTTTTACCATGATCACGATTGCTATAAATAATGGCCTGAGCTCAGGAGCCACGGAAAGCCAGCCCGCACACAACTGCTGTTCAGAGATTCTGAGAACGAGAAAATGACCTCAGAGGTCATGCAGCCCAACAGACTCCTTAACTTTTCATTGTGAAAAAACAGAGGCCGGGACTTGCCTTAGGGCACAGAGTGGGTTCAGTGCAGCGTGTGTGGAGTGACTCTGCTGGGAGCTGGAGTAAGGGTCACACTGCCTGTCCCTAAGGACCTGCAGTCTCACCAGGACCACCAGACACCCAGCTGGACGCGGGAGGGGGCAGGGGCTGCGATGGTGGAATCGGGCCTCTTCTCCGCTGTTTCTCTTGAGGAACGAGCAAGTGTGAAAGTCGAAAGACCAGTGTTCCGCACAGAGGTATCGTGTCATCAGCGTGGGGCTTACCGGAGGCTGAACGTAGCTCCGGTCCGATTCCTAAGCAGGGCGCTGAGATTTGAAGTTGGGTTGACATTCTACCCAGTGGTGAAAAAACTGCTAAGACTCTCCCTGTAAAACAGCCCACGTTTTGTGACCTTTGTTTCTTCGGATGCTTGGTCCCCTCGTCCCATGCTGGCTGCCCCTCCCTGACACGGTGGTTTCCTGACTTTCAGGTCCTCGAAGCAGAACAGCTGCTCGGGGTGCAGGTGGTGCTGAGACAGTTGCATCTGCGCAGAGAGATGGGTCCTTTGGGCTTCTGGGGTAGGTTTTGTGAAGTGGAACTTGGGCCCCAAAACAGATCTTTTTATTTTTAGGGGAAATCACCATCCCTTTGCAGACTTGTTCCTCCCGCAGAACTCAGTGGGAGAATGATTCGGGGAAGAAAAGCATCATAGTAGATCTGAACCTTTGATTCCTTTCACTCGACAAAATGCCCTTTCTGCTGAGGGGCTCAGATCTCAGGGGTGAGTCTGACAGCAGGTTGAAGTGGGAGCTCTGTACCCCTCGAATCAATAAGGCTAAACCACGTTCCACTCTAGTGTTTAAACCATTGAAAAGGCCATGGGGGTGATAGAAAAAGAAACTTTTCAGTTTCTTAATTGCTCAAAGTTCCCCACCCAAAACAGCTTAAGGGAAAGTTAATTACAGTGACAAGTTAAAGAAATCCTAACCTTCTAACATGCCTCCTGGAGAAGCTGATGTGAGTTTAATAGGATTTTAATCCAGAGAGTCTTTTGAATACTTGAGATCTATTCTCTGCTACCCTCTCTCCTGATGACCTCAAATCCTTCTTCAGCCCAACATAAAAGAGCATTAATATCTTCCATCGATCCATCTCCTAATCCTTTTACCTTTCCCTTTGAGTCTTCCGCATGACATTGCATTTGGAGGGGGATGGAATTCCTACGTGGAGACAGATTGCAGCCAGGAAAAGCAGATGGACCACATATCTTGGCTGAACGGAAGTATGGGATCATCGCCTTTGGAGAAAATTATCTGTTGAGACTTAATTTTCAAAAGCAAATGAACATTTAGTGGAGTTTTTTCAAGTTGCAGTGATTATAAGGGTCCTGGCGTGGAAGCCAACGGGGTCCAGGTTGCTCGGTGTGGGGGCAGAAGGGCTATTTACTTTGTCTATCTGCTGTCTACTATCTGTCTATCTATTATCTATCTATCTGTCTATCTATCTATCTATCTATCTATCTATCTATCTATCTATTATCTATCTAAATATCTGTCTGTCTGTCTGCCTGGGGTAATTAGGATTTTGTCTTTCTTACTTAGATCAATTCATGGAGCAGTGATGTAAAGGGGAAAAATCACTGTGAGAAGACATACAGCACACTCCTTCCTGCCCCCTCCCAGCCCTCTCGGATTTTCTCTGTCCTGCTTTGGCGTTGCTGCCCTGAAATCAGGGCCGTGATGGGGCTGAAGAGTCAGGGCGGCGGTCGGGAAAGGAAGGACGGGGTTCCTTGGAGGGATCTGAGAAGACCCTGGGTTTTGGGCAAACTGGTACACAGGTGTGTGCATGCCTGTTTTTTAAGAGAGAAGGTTTTTCAAAGGTTATCTTGACTCCTCAAGAGATGATGAGACTCTTTAGAGAGAAGCTGCTTAAGGCTGGAAGGGGTTCAGAGGATGGGGGTTCCCTGTTCCCACCACCTGTGCCTGCCCCCCGCAATTCCTCTGCTCCTCTGTCCTGCGTCTCCTTCTCAATTCCA